CAGCCGGCGTGCTGCGGCCAGCACATCGCACTGATCCGAAGCCAGTAGCCAGGTGCTTCTCCTGGTCTCCCATGCGGGTGCAGGGCCCAAGCACTTGGGCCATCCTCCACTGCCTTCCCGGGCCACAGCAGAGAGCTGGCCTGGAAAAGGGGCAATTGGGACAGAATCCGGTGCCCAGACCGGGACTAGGACCCGGTGTGCCGGTGCTGCAGGCGGAGGATTAGCCTATTGGGCCATGGTGCCAGCCAATACTATGGTTTTTTTAAAAAATGATTTTCACAATCTCAATTTTATGTGGAATCAAGAATACTCAAGCTCTCAGAAGCCAAGTGTAGGATAGTGGTTGTCTGAGGCTAGGAGAGAGGGAAATGGGGTAAGATGGGCAAAGGATACAAAGTATTCTTTTTGCCAGATGAATAAATTCTGGAAATCTAATATACATCATGATTATGATCATTAGCAAGACTGTATTGTATGTTTGAAATTTGCTGGAAGATAAATCTTTTTTTTTTTTAATCTTTTATTTAATGAATATAAATTTCCAAAGTACGTCTCATGGGTTACAATGGCTTTCCCCCCCATACCGTCCCTCCCACCCACCACCCTCCCCTTTCCCACTCCCTCTCCCCTTCCATTCACATCAAGATTCATTTTCGATTATCTTAGTATACAGAAGATCAGCTTAGTATACCTTAAGTAAGGATTTCAACAGTTTGTTCCCACACAGAAACATAAAGTGAAAAATAATAGATGATTTTTTTTAAATGATGATGAAATCAGATCAGACCTATTGTCATGTTTAATCCCAGTGAGAGTCAAGTTGGGAATTGATAGTTTCTTTTCTTTTTTTTTTTTTTTTAACAGAAGATCAGTTTAGTGTACATTAAGTAAAGATTTCAACAGTTTGCACCCCCATAGAAACACAAAGTGAAATATACTGTTTGAGTACTCGTTATAGCATTAAGCCTCAGTGTACAGCACATTAAGGACAGAGATCCTACATGAGGAGTAAGTGCACAGTGACTCCTGTTGTTGACTTTACAAATTGACACTCCTGTTTATGGCATCAGTAATCTCCCTATGCACCAGTCATGAGTTTCCAAGGCTATGGAAGCCCCTTGAGTTCTCCGACTCTTATCTTGTTTAGACAAGGTCATAGTCAAAGTGGAGGTTCTCTCCTCCCTTCAGAGAAAGGCACCTCCCTCTTTGAAGACCTGTTCTTTCCACTGGGATCTCACTCACAGAGATCTTTTTGCCAGAGTGTCTTGGCTTTCCATGCCTGAAATACTCTCATGGGCTTTTCAGCCAGATCCGAGTGCCTTTAGGGCTGATTCTGAGGCCAGAGTGCTATTTAGGACATCTGCCATTCTATGAGTCTGCTGAGTATCTCACTTCCCATGTTGGATCACTCTCCCCTTTATTTATTCTATCGGTTAGTGTTAGCAGATACTAGACTTGTTTATGTGCTCCCTTTGACTCTTAGTCCTTTCATTATGATCAATTGTGAACTGAAATTGATCACTTGGAATAGTGAGATGGCATTGGCACATGCCACCTTGATGGGATTGAATTGGAATCCCCTAGTATGTTTCCAACTCTACCAATTGGGGCAAGTCAGCCCGAGCATGCCCCAAATTATACATCTCTTCCCTCTCTTATTCCCACTTTTATGTTTAACAGGGATCACATTTCAGTTAATTTTCAACACTTAAGAATAACTGTGTGATAATTACAGAATTAAACCAGTCATATTAAGTAGAACAGACAAAAAAAATACTATGAGGGATAATGTATTAAGTTGTCCATTAGCAGTCAGGGCTATGCTGATCAAGTCACCATTTCTCATAGTGTCCATTTCACTTCAGGAGGTTTCCTTTTTGGTGTTCAGTCAGTTGTCACCGATCAGGGAGAACATATGGTATTTGTCCCTTTGGGACTGGCTTACTTCACTCAGCATGATGTGTCCAGATTCCTCCATTTTGTTGCAAATGACTGGATTTCGTTGTTTCTTACTGCGGTATAGTATTCTAAAGAATACATATCCCATAATTTCTTTATGGAAGATAAATCTTAAATCACCTCACTACACACACACATTGACTTATGTAGAGGTGATAGGTATGCTAATTAGCTGATTGTCATTCTCATTGAACACAGTGTTCATATATCAAAACATCCTATTGTGTACCTGAAATACATACAATATTTATAAGTCAATGATATCTCAATAAAGCTGTTGAAAGAGTCAACACACAGAGAGGTTGCAGTGGCAACTTCTTTGGTTTTATTTCCAGTGTTATAGTTTTCTGGAAACAAGCTGCATCATTAGTGTGTTTGTGCCCTCGGCAGCTTTGAAGCAGAGTTGATAAAGACAGGGCCAGGAAAGCTTCAGATATTCCCTTCTCTGAAAATATTTGCCACATTCTAAACGTATCAGTGAAAGTCCCTGATTTTGTTGATTTTTGTTTTTGTTTTGCTTTGCTGTTTGTGATGGAACTGGTGAGATGATTATTAGCAAAGAAGACTGGAAAGAAAGCATTATGTGTATCATTTACACAAATACTGTGTATATGTGTATAGTAATTTCCTCATTTCTGGATTAGTTTTCTCACTTCCTTCTTGCCTTGTGAGATAAATATGTACCATTCTTCCTCCCTCCACACTATATTTTTAATAATAGTGAGCGTTCTCAGCCAAGTCAAGCAGAAAGTCACGTTACCATATACCCCTGAACTCCCCCCCCCCATTCCATACACATACACACACACACTCACACACACAGACACTCAGACACACACACCACTCCCACCCCAGGGGTAGATTGGTCACAATGGATGAACCAACACTGACACATCTTTATCTCCCAAAGTGCATAGTTTACATAAGGGCCCACTCCTCGTGTCATACATTCTGTGGGTTTGGACAACTATGTAATGGCACGAATCCCCCATTGTAGTATCACACACAATGTTTCACTGTCCTAAATTACCTCTGTACTCTACCTAGTCACCTTCTCTACACCTTAACCCTTGTCTGCAACTGACCTTTTTCTTATTTCTGTAGACTGAGCTTTCCAGAATGTCACATGGTTGAAGCACATTGTAGGCAGCCCTTCCAGACTGGTTTCATTGTGCTTGTAATATACATTAAATGTTCTTTGGTCGGTCCATTCTTTGTCATATTAGATTAACAGTAGGGTCATGCAGGGATGGGTTCTGGATACCAGTTTCCCAGGGCTGCTAACGTCTTAGAGGAGATTGTCTTTTCCAGACATCCTCTCAAGAGAGTGTTGTGTAAAGAGTAGGATGTGAGGCTCTCAAGAGTTCAAGGATGGAAGATGAACCAGTGAACTCCATGTAGTGCAAGGAGAATGCAGTCACCTTCGGGGCAGTGATTTTTCTGGACAGAGCATGTAAACTGGAACCAGAGTGGACTTGCTAGGGACTCAGATATCAGAATTTGCACACAAGCACTCCACTTTTTAAGTTGTCTTACACTGTACTAAGCCTCTGCTACAAGTAATGGTACTCTAAGAATTTAAAGAATACATATTTTTTAAAGATGTCAAGTTATTAGCATGCCTGATTGCCTACATGTCTTGAAACAGCCAAGAGAGATGTTATTAGCACAATCTAAGAGAGGGACCAACAGCTTTAGAAGGTTGAATTCTTATTCCAATCCTTATCTTCACTTGAACCATATGTTTTGGTGGCTTTTCAGTTTTCTCTTCGCACGATTGGTAATACATAATTTCTAGCATTGATGGAGGTCATGGAACAACATCTAGGGATATCTTTGCACTGCTTCAGTAACCTGGTCTGTAAGAAGTGTGGTGTAGTCAGATTGCCAGTAGTAGATTCTTATGTGGGTTTTTCTGAAGCACTCCCTAACAAATTATGCTTTTCATGAAAGATTCTATACAATTAAGTTACTTTTACATAATAAAAAGTTCAAAGAAAGCAGGAGAGATAAGAGCAACAAGAAGTTGAATGATTACATTGACGAAATGGATCTAAACTTGAAGCATGAAGAAGCCTTAAATCACTAAAAATTAATAAAACCACTACATTAAAATGGCTTTTGGACATGAGCCCCAAAATTAAAAAAAAAAAATTGAAAAGCAATAGGGTATCTGAAGATATGTGCCCATCAAATAAAATAGGTGGCCTTTAATGACATTTTTATTGCAACTAAAATGGAACAAAAAAATAGAAGCAAGCAAATAAGGGCCAGTGCTGTGGCACAGTAGGCCAGACCTGTGCCTGTGCCACCGGCAACCCATATTGGTGCAAGTTCGTGTCCCAGCTGCTCCTCTTTTGACTCGGCTCTCTGCCTATGGCCTGGGAAAGTAGTGAAAGATGGCCCAAGTGCTTGGGCCCCTGCACCCATGAGAGAGACCCAGAAGAAGTTCGTAACTCCTGGCTTCAGTTCATCCCAGTCCCAGCCACTGTGGCCATTTGGGGAGAGAGCCAGTGGATGAAGACTTCTCTCCCAATGAATAAATAATAAATGAATAAATAAAATCTTAAATGAATGAATAAATAAAATCCTTTTTAAAAAAGCAAGCAAACCAAATGCTGTAATGCCAGTTAGGGAAATTTGACACAGATTAGGTGGATGACAGTTATGAATTATATTTTTGTGATAACACTGCAATAGGTTCATATAATTTCAAGAAACACACTGAAGGCTGTTTGCGTGGAATTTGATAAAGGATGGCTTGGATTTGTTTTAGAGTAATCCTGTAGGGTTAGAGGAAATAGCATTACCCAAGTTTTGATGGTTGTTGAAGCTGGTTAACGACACATTATTCTCCCTAAATCTGAGTTTTAAAATTTCAATAGCAATTTAAGAGATGGGAGAAAGATATGTAAATTCATCTGGGTCAGGACATGACTGAGGGAGACAACTCTGAGGCCACACCACTTTGTTAGAAGAAAAGCACAAAGATGCTCTAGCACATCAACCTCATTGGCTCTCCTCTCCTTCCTTTCTTGTAGGTCTTTTATTTGCTCACAGTCATGGGTGCACTTTTCTCAGCCAAGCCTAGCAAAGAATGCCAAGATCTGGAATCCAGCTTTAAAGAGTATATTAAGAACTTCAGGGAGGAAAACAAAATCCTCTCTCAGGAAACCATCCTTTCAATCGAGTCATGCCTGAGCAGAGGAGACATTCAAGGCGCACATTCCATAATCAGTGGTACATTAGAAAATATTGACAAGATCCCACTGAATGTTGCTGTGACGGGGGAGTCGGGATCCGGGAAGTCCAGTTTGGTGAATTCCCTGAGAGGGGTGGGACACGAAGAAGAAGATGCGGCTCGCACTGGGGTAGAGGAGACAACCATAATGAGAACACCATACAAACACCCGAAATTTCCCAACGTGACAATATGGGACTTGCCTGGCATCGGAACCACTAATTTCCAGCCGAAAGATTATCTGGAGAAAGTCAAGTTTGGTGAGTACGACTTCTTCATTATTTGTGCAACACGCTTCAAGAGAAATCACCTAGACCTGGCCAAAGTTATAAAATCTATGAAGAAGAACTTCTACTTTGTGAGAACCAAGGTGGACTTTGATTTACAAAATGAACAGGAATTTAAACCAACTACCTACGTAAGAGACAAGGTCTTAGAAGTGATTCGAAACAAATCTCTGAAGGAATTTAAGGATAATAATATTGAAACACAAATCTTCTTAATTTCTAACAAAAATTTGTCTGAGTTTGATTTCCCAATCCTGATGGAAACCCTACTAAATGATCTCCCTGCTCAGAAGCGCCACATGTTCACGCTTTCCCTGCCCAACATTACTGAGGCAGCCATTGATAGAAAGAGGGACTCACTAAAGCAAACTATCTGGCTAGAAGCCTTCAAGGCTGGATTTTTGGCAATTGTTCCTACAGTGGGCATCATAAAGGACAATGATGTGAAGAAGCTGAAGGCCACCCTACGTCAATATCAAGTCCACTTTGGAGTGGATGACACATCTCTGCAGAGTCTGGCTAAGCATTTGCAAGTGCCTGTGGAAGAACTCAAAGCTGTTATTAAGTCTCCCTATTTGTTTGACACTGTAAAGGAAGAAACAACAGGGGAAATGGTTTGGAAATTCTTGGAGATTTCAAGTTCAGTTGCTTTCCCTCCTCTTGCTGCAGGCCTTTACTTTAGGAAAGTCTTCTACCTACAATTACACATCCTTGACACGGTGACCAATGATGCTAAAGTTCTGCTAAAAAAGGCATATTCCAAAAAGCGTTGACTTCTCAGTAGACTAAAATCCTCTGAGTGTTGAAATCCAAATTTGTGGAGAAAAATAGCACAGTGGAAGCCACCAAACAATATAAAGAGTTTCTTGAGAGCATCCACCATTGACTCATACTTTCCGACTGCATATCCCTGTTAGATGGACTAAGGGCCTGGGATAAGTTCAAATACGGGCAGAGCCAAATACACGCATCCACTTCCAATAAACCAGCACATCAGATGATTTTACCTTCATCAGAAATTTAATGTAGCTGTCACCTTGACGACCTGACAGTAGCTCCTTGAAACCCAGTTGTACCCTATCCTCTTCAACCTAGTGAAAACTTCCTTCCTTTGTGGTTGTTTGTGATACAGCCTGACTTTCTTGCATCTCCCAGACCCAGATCTGATACACGCGCTGATGCTGACCGTGATAAAGCCTGTTGGTCAACAGCTGAGTCATATGGGTGAGCTCCCTCTTCTCACTGTCTTCTAAAGCAGCTAACCTCCAGTCCCATGGGAAGGCCTGCAGGATGGCACTCGTGGCCCTTAACGGAGGCCTGGCCCCACAGCTTCACTCTTTTTCCTTTTTTCCTGCCCACTGTTTGAGCTCCATATCACGTCTGGACTTCCTGTTAACATCCTTCCTAACCTCTCTGAATCTTGTGAGAACTCAGTTTCTTCTGGTTCACGCACTGTAGTCTCACCTCTTCCTTTTGACTCAGCTGACACACACAGAAACCTAGTCAGGGCCATCTTGGAACCGATTGTCCTTCATGGCCACTTTCAACAGAGGTCTCAACAGCCAAATAGTAAGAACTTGTATCACCATGGAAATCATAATAAAGTCATAAGAATGCTTTTGGATCGGAATCCTTGCCAAGAAATTAATTGAAGAAAACCTGTGATTCTGTGCTGGGAACTGTGGAGACCTTATGAATTTATAAAATGTTGACATTCTTGGTCTTTTGAATGTCAAGAGTGGTCAGCAATTGCTTTAGTCCACTTGTGATCCCAGTAGGTGCTCAATATATGATTAGTGAAAAAAGGTATTTGCCATTGCTATGTTGCTGTTCTCAATAAATTCAAGAGTACTTCATATTGATTGCTGTCAGAGTTATTTTTGTTAATGATAATGTCCTTACCTATTCTGTTTCATCACTTTATTTTCCTCAAAATGAAATACCAACCAACAACGAAAAAAAGTACCCAGGCTAGAAAAACTGCAAGAGAATGAATATGAAGGGTGAAATGATTCCATGGTAAGAGGCAGTTTGCTTCAGGCTATTGCAATACCATGGACTACATGAATTAAACAACATAAATGTATGTTCACGTTTCTAGAGACTGAAGTGGGCGACCTTTGTACCAGCATGGTTGTTGGGTCCTTGGGGCAGGTATTCTTCCCAGTCGTGTCCTCACATGGCCTTCCTTGGTACATAGGTTTCTGAGATTCCTTTGTGTGCTCCATTTGAGCAAGGGCATCAGTTCCATCATTAGGGCCCCTTCCTCATGACCTACCTTAACCCTAATTATGTTCCAAAAACCCTCCCTCTACTATGATCTCTTTAGGAGATAGGTTATTAACATGCAAATTTTGGAGAAACAAACATACCATGCATAACAGGTGGGTTATACAAATTTTGCATAGGATTGAGTTCCTTTCTTATTAGAATCTGTGCCAGTTCTTATCTGACCAACATCATACACTGTAAAACATTTTAAGAAGTAACTCAGATACAAGTTGAGTATGCCTTTATCCAAAATGCTTGGAACCAAAAGGGTTTCACATTTTTTATTTTGGAATATTGTCGTATACATAATGAGCCAACTTGGGGATGAGACCCAAGCATAAATACAAAATTGACATAAGTTTCATGTACATATTAAACACATAGGCTAACCTAGATAAGTACAGCATTTTTACCTACGTTTTGACTGTGACCCATCACGTGAGGTCAGATGTGGCCCCTTGAGGGCCCCCTAAGCTGTGCTACATCATGGAGGGCACTACGATGCAGAGGTAAGTGCAAGACAGAGAGAGAGAATCATATCACCAGGCAGGGATAGATACACAGAGACTGCAAAGCTGGGAATTTCCTATTTAACAGTCCTCTCACAAGAAAACTCAGGGTTCCCATGAGAATTCCCTTACTCTCTTCTGAGAGCGCACCCCCAGTCACCTAAACATCTTCATTCTACAAGATCAGACCTCAACATTGTCACACTGAGGACCAAGCTCTCAGTACACAAACCTTTGGGAGACAAACTCAGCCCATAACCAAACCATAGCAAACAAACCAACAAACAAAAGTAGTAGAAAAGGGGGGAAATCTATGAAATGAGAGAACAAAACTGTAACAGAAAAACAAGTTGAAAGTGAGAAGAGAAAACAAGAATTGGCTTGGCAGTAGGGTGAGGCCTGTGGACTGTGGCATTACGGTGATGAGCTCAAGCCTGGATACGCAGTGTAACACTACTTCCACAACGCCTTTGCTTTGCAGTCTCTTGACACTTGAAGGAATAATTGTTCGTTCTATGTAATATTGTCGTATCAATGACTATAGGATAGGCTTGCTTCAAATATACTAAATGTTTAATAAACATAAGCAATGTATCTCCTTGCAGAGATTTGTGCAATTCAGGAGGATCAAGGAAGAAATCTGGGAGGAAGAAATGCATTATTCTAAGTCATCCTCACACTTCATTGGTTTGTGGACTCTAATGGCTCAGTGAGTAATAGCAGTGATTAAGATCTGAGTAGGGGTCACAGAGAAAGAGGTGGAAACAATGTTACCTATCCAGACAGGTGCTGTCTGTCATACTTGAATTCCCTCATGGTAGTGCCTTTGAAACGTCTCTATGTGATTTCACCTACAAACAAGCAACATATAAGTGCATGCTCCTAGATAGCCACAAGAGCCAAAAGGAATAGTCATTAAATCTGACTTTTGTGACACAGGTGCCACCTCTCTAGGCCAAGACACCAGCACCTCTTCCTGGATTATTTTCAGTCTCAAATGGCTTTCCCGGTTATGCACTTTCACTTTTGCAATCATTCTTCTTGTAGCTCAGTGGTCCTAAGACAACCAGAAAGAACACTGCAGGAGTCAGCACCGCATCCAATGCCAGCATCCCATATTGCTGTGCCAATCTGAGCCCTGCTACTCCACTTCCCATCCATCTCCCTGTTATGTACCTGGAAAGTGAGTGGACAATAGACCAAGGAGTTTCTGGCTCGTGTCTTCAGTCTGGCTCTGTACCAGCTGTTGTAGCCTTTTGAGGAGTGACCCAGTAGATGGAAGATTCATAGTCTCTCTCTCTCTCTCTCTCTCTCTATATATATATATATATATGTATATATATATATATATATGTGTCTCTGATTCCTTTCAAATAAATAAATAAATTTTCATTCTTCTGTGGGTGGATATCCAGTTTCTCCAATATTGGTTTTGAAGAGACTTCTCTTTCTCCACTGTGTGTTCCCAGCACCCTTTCCAACAATAAAGTGAGCCTAAATGCATAGGTTCATTTCTGGCCTCTCCGTTCTGTTCCAGTGGTTATTGTTTCTGTTTAGGCTAGTCTCAAGCTTTGTGACATAGTTTGGCTTCAACTTTGAACTTTGTGCTCAAGAGGGCTCTGGCTGTTCAGTGTCTTCTCTGATTTTATATGAATTTCAGGATTACTTCTTTCCATTTCTGTAAAAATGACATAGGCATTTGGATGACGATTGCATTGAATCTGCTTTGGATAGTATGGACATTTTAATAATGTTAATTCACCCAATCTACAAACATGGAATCTTTTTCCTTTATTTGTGTCTTATTCCATTTCTTTCATTAAAGTTTTATCATTTTCAGTGCACAGAGCTTTCACTGTTTTGGTTATATTTATTACTAAGTATTTTTGTACCTATTGTAACTGGCATTGTTTTCTTGATTCTTTTTCAGATAGTTTGTTGTTGGTGCATAAGAATTCCGCTGAGCTGTGTGTGCTGCTTTAGTATCCTGAAACTTAGCTGTGTTTGCCTATTATTTCTAGCAGAGTTTGGTTCATTCTTTAGGATTTTCTGTGCACAAGCTGATGTCACCAGTAAGCAGCAACAATTTCACTACTTCTTTTCCTATTTTGATGCCTTCCATTTCTTCCTCTTGCCTAATTGTTCTGCCAGTGGCCTCCTGCTACTGCTTTGTATATGTTAATTTCATATCTTGCATCTTTTTATTTCACTTATGAGTTCTAATACATTTTTATGTGGTCTTTAGAGTTTGCGTATATAAGATCGTGTCATAGGGATGGGCATTCAGCCTAGCGGTTCTTTTTTTTTTTAAAGATTTGTTTATTTTTATTTGAAAGAGTTACATGTGGGGAGCAACTGGGAGCAACTCAGACTATACTGTTACTGGAATTAAGACTTATTCTATGCATCTGCTCTCCCACAATATGGCGCTGGGAGAGGAGCAAACAGCTTCTACCCAGCTGCCTCTCACCAACTTGACAAGCTGCAGGAGCTGCTCCTGATTGGAGGAGAGCAGCGTACTCGGCATGTGGGTAGCAGAGTTGGGATTGGCGGAAGAGGACTATAAAGGAGGAGAGAGACAACATGCACCAGGAACATCTAAGGGGAACATCTACCTGAAGGAACACCAGAGCAGCCCCCGAGAGAGCCGGCCGGCGGTGTGCCGCTCCTCCACAAAAGTGGGGAATGTGGCAGGGGGAACCGCCCTTCCATGGAGGTGGAAGGGTCGGTAGCCAACCCGGGAAGAACGAGCAGCAAACCCGGGGAGGGCCGAGCAGATGAAAGAACAGCGCAGGGTCCTGTGTTGCTCCTCCGCGAAGAGGGGGAGCGACATAATGGTGCCGTGACTCGGATATCAAGCCTAGGCAGGGTTTAGTGTCATTCCTCCATGAAGAGGGGGAGCAACATAATGGTGCCGTGACTCGGATATGAAGCCTAGGCAGGGTATAGTGTCGTTCCTCTACGAAGAGGGGGAGCGACAGTTACACAGAGAGAAGAAGAGGGAGAAAGAGAGAGAGAGAGAAGGGGGGGAGGTCTCCCATCTGCTAGTTCACTCCCCAATTGGCCACAACGGCTGGAGCTGCCCAGATCTGAAGCTAGGAGCCAGGAACTTCCTCCAGGTCTCCCACATCAAGAAAGGGGCCCAAGGACTTGGGCCATCTTCTATGGCTTCTATGGCTTTCCCAGGCCATAGCAGAGAGCTAGATTGGAAGTGGAGCAGCTGGTTCCTTATGGGATATGCTTCCATATGGGATGCCGGCACTGCAGGCTGCGGTTTTACCCACTTCACCACAGCGCTGGCCCCAACCTAGCAGTTCTGACACCAGTCAAAACACCCATGTCCTATGTCAGAGTACCTGCATTCCATCCCCAGCTTCAGCTCCAGAATGCAGCTACCTGCCAGTGTAGACCCTAGGAGGCAGCAGTGATGGTGGAAGTAGTGAGGTCTGGATTGGTTTCCCAGTTCCCAGCTCAGCCTGACCCATCCCTGGTTTTTGTGGCATTGTCTCCATCTCTCTGCCTGTCGTGTAAACAAATAATGAATCAATCCGTGAGGCAATTTTTTTTTTTTTTTATCTAATAGCTCTGGCTAGGACTTCTAGTACTAGAATGAATAGAAGTGATAAGAACTGGTCCTCTTGCTCTGTGTAGGATCTCAGAGGAAGCTTTCAGCTTTTCTCCAGTTGGTTATAATGTTAGCTGTGGGCTTTTTACAAATAGCTTTTGTTGTGTTGAGGTAAGTTTCTTTTATACCTGTTTTGTTCAGAGTATTTGTCATGAATGTATGTTGAACTTTGTCAAATGCTTTATCTTTCTGGTCCTGTTATTTTCATCTTGCATCCTGTTAGTGTAATGTATCACATTAATTGAGTTTGAAATGTTGAAATCTTCTTGGGTCTCAAGGATTAATTGTCCCAACCATGGTGTATTATCCTTTTAATGAGGTGCTCAAGTTGGTTTGCCATTATTTTATTAAAGATATTTTGCATCTGTGTTTCTAAGGGATGTTGGCCACAAGTTTTCATATGTTTTAGTGGTTTTTTTTTTTTTCTGGTTTTGTAATCAGAGTAATGCAGGACTCCTTAAATGAGTTTGAAAAGGTACCCCATTTTCAGTATTTTGGAAGAGTTTGAGAAGGATATATCATTAATTCTTTTTTAAGTATTTGGTAGAAATTACCCATGAGGCCACCTAGTCCTTGGATTTTATAAAATGTTCATGTTCTGAATTAAGAGATGATAATGTACATAATTATTGTGTACAGTGTGATGTTGTGATTCACATATATTGCTGTTTGGATGTAGTCTGTCACCAAAAGCTTCGTGTGTTGGAAGTGTGGTCCTCAGTGTTCAGAGAGATGTAGAACCATTAATATGTAGGGCCCAGAGGAGGTCCTTAGGTCTTGGGGAATACTGTCATTGGAATGGATTAAGGTGGTTTTCATGGGATCCTGAATTAGTTCTTATGAGAGCATTGTTATGAAGGCGTGAGCCTGGGGGTCAGCATTGTGACATAACAGATTAAGCTGCCCCCTGCAATGCCATCCCATGGGGGCACCAGTTCACGTGACAGCTACTCCACTTCCTATCCACTTCTCTGCTAATGTGCCTGGAAGAGCAGTGGAAGATGGCCCAAGCCCTTGGGCCCTGCAACCATGTGGGAGACTGAGTTGAAGCTTCTAGCTCCTGGCTTCACCCTGGCCCAGCCCTGGCCATTTTGAGGCCAGGAAGTGAACCTGCGATTGGAAAATTGGAAGATCTCTCTCTTCCTCTATCTGTAACTCTGCCTTTTTTTTTTTTTTTTTTAGCTGAATGGTTGCATGCTTCCTTTCATTTTTAAAAGATTTTTTGTTTATTTGAAAGTCAAAGTTATAAAGGGTGGGTGGGTGGAGAAACAGAGAGAAATGTTCCATCTGCTAGTTTACTCCCCAAATGGACATGACAGGACCTGAACCAGTGCCCATTTGGGATGCCAGGCCACAGGTGGTGGCTTTATCCATTGCAGCACAGTGTGGGCCCCTGTAACTGTGCCTTTCAAATAAATGAAGTAAAACTCTTAAAACCAGAAGAGAGTGAGCCTGATCCCTGAATTGTTTCCTGGATTTTTGTCTTAGGATGCATCTTTCGCACACACACATTCTGTTGCCATGATGCCATCCGGCATGATGAGATGCAGCCAAGGGGCCCTCACAAGGGCCAGCACCATGCTGTTTGGAATTTATTCCTCCAAAACTGAACTAAATAAGCCTGTCTTCTTCATAAAGTTGATAGCCTTGGGTATTTCATGACAGAAAACAGACTAATACTTGCACATTGTGGAATGACTAATCAGACGAATTACCAAATCCACACTTATGTCTCCCATGTTTACCATTTCTTTGTGGTGAAAACATTAAAGCTACTCTTGCAGCCATTTTAAAAGTACACAGCGCACTGTTATTAGCTCTAGTCACCATGCTGGGCTTCTCTTGTTGAAAGGTTTTTATTGCACATTCAGCCCCCTCACTCATTCTTCAGTTGTTCAGTTTCCTGTATTCTAGATTCTACTT